ATTCTCTTGTGGTAAAACTCTTAGCGGGTGGTTGGCGGGTGCTCTGGTGTGGTCTGCTTCTTCTTTCCTATCAAACATCTATCGTCCTTATCTCCCCTTCTTCTTTTTTATGTTTGTTACTCTCTTGTAACACCTCTAATCTTCTGGCGCTTCTTCTGCATTGACTAACTGAATCTGGAAGTGCATTGTGTTGTTTGAACTATGTCCCTTGATACTGGATAATTAGGAACAGGAAGTTGGATCAAAATAAACAGTAGTTGAAAACCAACACGACTGTGTTTCTCTGTCTGTGATGTAGACTGACACTTAATCCACTTCAACACACACACACACAGACAGCATGAGTTTTTTCAATCAGGTTTTTACTTTTGCTAAGACTTATGCAGTATTTGCAACACAAAGAGATCACACGAGTGCCAAGTTAGTTTTAGTAGAGGTTTTACGGCACTTGCAACAGCATAAGGTCACATGAGCGCCAGAAGATTAGAGGTGTTACAAGAGAGTAACAAACATAAAAAAGAAGATGGGGAGACAAGAATGATAGATGTTTCATAGGAAAGAAGAAGCAAACCACATCAGAGCACCCGCCAACCACCCACATTGCATCTCACTAAAGACATAGCAGGATGTTACACATGATAGACACATTGGATGGCAGTTATTAGTTTCAGAAAGTTTTAGGCAACGCAATTGGTCACATAAGTGCCAAATATTTGAGGTATTATTAAAGAGTAACATACACAGGAAAGAAGGAGAGGAAGTGGGTGGTTTGTTGAGTACAAGTTGAAATATTTGCCATTGAAGGAGGCTTGCTTTCAGAGGTAAAATTACTGAGAAAATGGCCGCCAAAATTTGGTTATTTATAAATCCCGAGAGTCCATGGAAATGGACAATTTACATTTTTTGTGCCTTTAATCAACGTTTTCAGTAAAACCCACACATAAATGGGTTTTTTAACAGACATAAAGGTGCAGAGCCAAAAAACAAATTTTCGATAAAAATTGCTAAACTGGCGGAAAACTGCCAATTTCTACAATTTCATTATGTTGACGAGAGCCTGATTTCACTACGCTGTCTCATATATGCCAGTAAACTCCTGAAGGCTAGCAGTCCGATACAGCAACAGGTTTGTTTATTTTACTCATTTCTTTACAGAGATTAGAAATGAGTGGTCATAAATTGGCTAATAAACATTTTACGGCCAGATGTCAACACAACCAGTTGGATGTAAAGCTCACAAAATAAAATAAAATAAAATAATAATGAAACAAAATATTAGATTAAAAAAAAAATTCCCATACCGTGCCTGGTGGGCTGGGCATGGGAGGTGGGGAGAAGGCGATGGGTTGAAGTTCCTCCATCCTCTTGCCACTCCTCAGCTCTTCCTTCTGGGATGTGTAGGAAGTCTGCACGGAGAGAACACACTTTGAGTTTGAGTCCTACAACTAACAAAAGTTTATTAGTTTGAGTAAAGCAAAACAAGCACATTGATAAAAGTTGTTTTGATTGTTATTTTAGTTTTAGTAGAGGCTTTACGGCGCTCGCAACTGCATAAGGTCATATGAGCGCCAGAAGATTAGAGGTGTCACAAGAGAGTCATCATCATCATCATCCAGTGCCAGATCTGCGACAGACATCGGCGATCATGATTTTCCATTCATTTCTTTGCTCGGATACTCTCAAGAGAGTAACAAACATAAAAAAGAAGAAGGGGAGATAGGGACGATGGATGTTTGATAGGAAAGAAGAAGCAAACCACACCAGAGCACCCGCCAACCACCCACTTTGAGTTTGAGTATGAGTCCTACCACTGACAAAAGTTTATTAGTTTGAGTTAGGAAAAATAGCACATTGATATTAACAATTATTTTGATTGTTTGTTTGTTTGAAAAAAAGAAACACATGAACATAATAACAGTCATTTGGTGAATGGAAAAAGCAAGATAGAAAGAAAAGAAGTACAGTAGTCTCCGCCTAAACGTTCGGTACCCGGGAGGGCTCCTAATGGAGCGTTTACGTGAACCTTTGCCAAGGGGGGAAAGGCGCGCAACCATCTCATTCTCCTCGATAATTTAGTCACCTCCCATGGGGTGGGGGGTGAGTCACTTTTGCGAACAATGTGACGACTTGTTGCTGTTTAGCAAAGGACTCCCCGGCCGGGGTTCTTTAGTTCTAGTTTTAGTAAGAGTTTTGCGGCGCTCGCAACCGCATAAAGTCATATGAGTGCCAGAAGATTAGAAGTGATTCAAGAGAGTAACAAACATAAAAAAGGACGATAGATGCTTGATAGGAAAGAAGGAGCAAACCACACCAGAGCACCTGCCAACCACCTACTATCGCAGTTCTGGCTACCAAGACGTTGAATAGGTGATTTTAAAAAAGCAAAAAGACAGACCCACGGTACCGATGTGTACCAGCGTGTCAGGAGTAGATACACGTAGAACAAACAAGAACACTTGATAGCTTCAAAAACTATCTTAAGCATTTTCTGTTCCCATAGGCCTGTCCTTCATAAGCTTTTAGTGTTATTTTTATTACAGTTGTTCTGTGCCTACATCTGAATGAAAATAGTCTGTGTGTGTGTGCATAAATATATATTGCATGAGAAGGAAGGAAGTAGTAAGAAAGGTTTTGAAAATGGGTATTCCAATGTAAAGTGCTTTGAGCTACTTTTTTGGAAAAGCGCTATATAAAACTGATATATTATTATTATTACTATTATGTAGGAGGAAACTGTTGGTGATTGTCATACCCATGACTCACAGAGGGAAGACTGCTCAGCCAAGCGACCACTCCCGACTGCCGGTCATCTATTGCAACTCGATAAATGCAAGGACGTCATAGGACATTCTGAGAAACTTCTCTCTTGTTTCTAGTGATTCATTGAACAAGTCTGATATAAGTTCTTCCAGCGCAGCTGATTGCGGGCAGTATTGCACACAGACATAAGTCATTTTTGGCAGCCTTTGAGATACGTCTGTATGCAATACTGCCCGCATGATCACTTTACTAATCCTTACTCCTGATAGGCCTGTGTTCTACAGCACTCACGCGGGTTGCGCATCATTATAGGCCGAACTAAACGTTACAGTCATCCAAACACCAGTAAGAAACCTTCTCTCAAAGACGCATATTTCGTCCAATCAAAAGACATCCTCTCCTCCCAAAACATATCGCTTGCCTAGTCATAGACCTATGTGTAGGTGAAAAGTTCAGTGTGATGTTTTAGTAGAGGTTTTACAGCGCTCGCAACTGCATAAGGTCATATGAGAGCCAGAAGATTAGAGATGTTACAAGAGAGTAACAAACATAAAAAAGAAGCAGAGGAGATAAGGATGATAGATGTTTGATAGAAAAGAAGGAACAAACCACACCAGAGCATCCGCCAACCACCCACGTTAAGTGTGAAAACGCTATCCATTATCCTCTTTGTTCTGCATGAGGAGCAGTCTAAAAAGATATCAAGTTGTCTCGACTCCTTGTCGAGCTTTATCTGTCGGCATGTTTCGCGAATCGAAGTATGTGTTTAGAGGAAGCGAGTGTGCGTTTGTATGTCTAAATTGTATAGTAAAAAACTTGTCACGTGTAGAAAGCGTGTGTTTAGACGGAGACTACTGGAGAACTTCGAGATAAGAGAAACACACTGGCACAGTAACAGTCGAGAGGTTAGAATCCTCATACTGAAAATTTTTCAAGATTTAGACCGATTTGAAAAAGTTTCTTTATAATACTTAGTGGCTTCTGTGGCCTAGTGGTTAGGCTACCGGACTCGTAATCGTAAGGTTGCGGGTTCGGGAGTGATCTTGTCAGTTTCTTAGTGTTTGAACGCTTAACCAGCTGCTTGCACTGTATGCTTCCCGGGAAGCTGAGAATGTTTCTGAGTGTTCTATGGTCTGCTGGGGTAATAATATAGTGTAAAGCGCATAGAGCTTGCTTTCGAGTGGGGATATGTGCTATACAAATGCTATTTATTATTATTATTATACTTGGTGTAGTCGAGACCTTTGAACCCCAACCGCCTCCCCAATCACCCCCAACCCACAAATTTATCATCATCTTCATTTTGCAGGCAGAGAGTTGTAATAGCAACAAAAAAAACTTACCTGAATATCAGCTTTTTTCAGTTGACAACAGCTGATGTAGTCTCGGAACTCGGCCATTTTATTTACCATCTCAGCTGTGGGAGTTTTACCTTGACTTTTTAGGCTGCAGGGAAAAAAAAGAAAGAAAAAAATGTATTAAAAAAAAAAAGTAATTTAGAATTACAAAATTAAAACCCCCCACAAATTTCAAATTGATCTAAAATTTATTTAAAAAAAAAACAATTCAATTCGACACAACAGGAACAATTTCTTAATTTTTAAAAATAATTTTTATTTGCACATTTGCATAAAAGTAAAAAAAAAACAACACTTCCGAGTCTGATATGCAGCTTGACCCGTTTTTGGGGTAATAATCGTAATAATCCAAAACAATTTTTGACTTTTGGTGCTTGAAGAATGCACGTGCCTTTCAACTAAAGAATTATTGAGGGAGTGCTGTTTCAATGGCAGAATAATCATTACTTACTGCAAGCCCGCATGATAACAATAACATTCCGACAAGAGGCAGATAAAGTAGATGTCGCTGTGGTGGTGAGAGGGCCTGATTATTCACACACACAGCCACACACGTACACACACATACACACAGCCACACAAGTACACACACATAGCCACACACGTAAACTCACTTTGGGATAATAGACTGTAGTTGTCTCCGGTTATAGCTACCGTTTTCTGAATCTCTCTCTCTCTCTCACACACAAACACACTCACAGACACACTGAGGTAATACAGTCTCCGGTGTCCTAATTCTCACCCTCTCTCTTTCTCTATCTGTTACACACCCAAACACACAATCACTGCGAGATAATAAACTGCATCTTCCTCAGATCACCAGCTACCTCTCCGTCACATGCACACACTGACATATGTACAGACGCACACACACACAAATTCCCCGAGGTATTTCAGTCTACAGAGCTTTCTTTCCCTTTCACCCTCTTTCCCATGGACTCACTAGTTTATTTTAGTAGAGGTTTTACGGCGCTCGCAACTGCATAGGGTCAAATGAGCGCCAGAAGATTAGAGGTGTTACAAGAGAGTAACAAACATGAAAAAGAAGGAGGGGAGATAAGGACGATAGATGTTTGATAGGAAAGAAACAAAGCACACCAGAGCACCCGCCAACGGACTCACTGTGAGATGATAGACTGTAGTTGTTTCAAGTTGCGGGCTGCCTCCCTGATGTTCCAGTCCATCCTCAGGGTAGACAGCTGACACCTTGTGGCCAGGGTCTGTGCCTAAACAATAAAATAAAAAATGTTGGTTTTGGTAAGGAGAAGCACACTTGACACAATAATAATGGTCATTTAGAGCAGAGAAAATGTAATTTAAGTAGTTTCGATTTCTTTTCTTTTAATGAAAGTGCTTTTGCACCCCCTTTGACACAGCGCTCACAATTGCATAAGGTCATATGAGCGCCAGAAAATTAGAGGTGTTACAAGAGAGTAACAAACATAAAAAAGAAGGAAAGGAGATAAGGACGATAGATGTTTGATAGGAAAGAAGGAGTAAACCACACCAGACCACCCTCCAACCACCCACCCACATATTTTACTTTTCCGATCCAGTACATATCCCCACAGTAAAGGCCATTGAATGCAAGGAAAAAAGCAATTTGTTTTTGAGTCGAGAAAAGCGCATTGACACATTAACTATCATTTTATATTATTTCATTTTTTATTTAGTAGAGGTTTTACGGCACTTGCACCTGCATAAGGTCATATGAGCGCCAAGCGGTGGATGTCATCAGAGAAGTCCCTACAGAGAATCAGACTTACTCTACTCACCTCTCTAGCTTCAACAGCACAAAGTCTGTTTTGACTTTCAAGGCAACCGGGAAATAGCGGGTCACAAGAGTGTGACAAACATACAAAAGAAGTAGAGGAAAATGACGATAGTAAGGATTAGGAAAGAAAAAGCAGCAGTTCCCTGTTGCAGTTCAGGCACAGTAATGAGCATGACTTTGATGATGGATCAGCCCATTTACAATTCTACAGTGCATAAGAACAAGAAATGTCCCCCCGTTTGGGAATGGCCAAAAGACACTTCAGTCAGTGGCACTGCTGGGGGTGTGTGTGTGTGTGTGGTAACTGTCATTTAGTACAGGCAAAAAGCATGACTGACAGAAACAACAGACAGAAAGAAAAGAGGGACCAATTAGTGGCACCCTCCAAACACCTGCTCTCAGGGAAAAATGAACAAAAAACCTCAACCACTTCAAAACCATGACAAAAAGTCAAACTAAGAAAGAAGTAGAGGAACAAGACCAGCTAAAACAGCACTTGCCAACCTGGGTGGTATCATTTACCAGTGGGCCATTTGGGAACATTGTTGGGCAGTAGAGATCACTACAGTAGTGACAGGTGCTATTTTATGCCCTTCTTGGAAATACACCTAGGTCGGTGGTTCGAAAATTTCAGCCTCTTGACGGTGGAAAAAGTGTGCGCTAGCTTTAGAAAGGATGACAGGCACTTATCTAAAACTATGGAAACTGAGAAAGAAATGGCAGATCCAGACCATCTTATGTTTGTTTGAGTAAAAAAAAGCACATTGTGACAGGAAGACAGTCTTTTAGTTTTAGTAAATTTTATGCCACTAGAAACACAAATAGGTCATATAAGTGCTAAAGATTACAGGTGTTACTAGAGTAAAATATACAAAGAAAACAAGGAGAGACAAGGACGACAGATGTTTAATAGGAAAGAAGGAGCAAACTACACCAGAGCAACCCCCAACCACCCGCTGATAGTCATTAAGATCAAGGTAAGACAATATAGACAGAAATAACAGACAGAAAGAGAAGAAGGACCCACCAGAAGAGCCCTTAAACTACCCTCCAGATCACACCATCACAACCCCCCCCCCCCCCCCCCTCCCAAATTGACATCCCTCTCTGATCATCAAAAATATATACCAACCATTGAAAGTAAAATTGTCTCAACTGCCGCAAATTTAGGAACTAACAACAATATGATTAGATTAACATACAAACTGAATTATAAAACTTTTAATGATGCATCTATCATAAATATACAAGTACTAGATTTTTCAAAAAAGTAACCACATTACAAAAAGCCAAAATTCTCAATAAATTGGATTTTCCACAACAATGGTAGAGACACTTAAGACAATTTGGTTTTCATGGGTAGCAACGTGACAAAATGAGTCGCTTGTTGCACACAGCTGTTTCGAGATATCAAGAAAATCTCCATTTTCTCTCAACTGGGTGTTTTAGACTCCTCAATTTCAACCGTCAAACAAAAACAACTCCACTGATACCGCATTCACTCATTCATAGTCATAGAACTTAAAACAGATCTTTACCTTAACACCCACAGCGTAATAGCATCACTTAGTCAAAATACAACAGGTGACCCATTTTGTCTTGTAGCAGCACACATGACTATCATTACCCCCAACTACACCCCTGTTCAACATCATAACCCCTCACCTCTTTAGTTTTTTAGTTTTAGTAGAGGTTTTATGGCACTCGCAACTGCATATGGTCATATGAGCACCAGAAGATTAGAGGTGTTACAAGAGAGTAACAAACATAAAAAAAGAAGAAGATGGGGAGATAAGGACGACAGATGTTTGATAGGAAAGAAGGAGCAAACAACACCAGAGCACCCGCCAACTACCCACATTTTGTCTTGTTGCAACACACATGACTATCATTACTCTGTCCAACATCATGACCCCTCACCTCTGCCAGCTGTGCCCGGGTCACTTCCTTATCCAGTTGTCCGGCTAGCCCTGCCATGTCACCTCGCTCCGACAATGCAGCCATTGCCTCTTTCAGCTGGGACCGCAGCTCTTCTTTTTCCTCTTCTGACTGCCTCAGCAAGCCTGTCAGTCTGGAAAGGGTATGATTGAAATTTAAGTTTTAGTAAGTTTTACAGCTCTTGAAACACTTATATGTATTTTAGTTTTAGTAAGTGTTTAACGGCACTTGCAACACAATAAGGTCATATAATTGCCGAAGATTAGAGGTGTTACAAGTGAGTAACAAACAAAAAAAAGAAGGAGGGGAGATAAGGAAGATAGATGTTAGATAGGAAAGAAGAAGCAAACCACATCAGAGCACCCGCCAACCACCAACAGTAAGTTTTACAGCTCTTGAAACACTAATATGTATGAAAGTGCCGAAGATTAAAGATGTTACTGGAGAGTAACATACAAAGAAATGAGAGAAGATATAGGACATATTTGATAGAAAAGAAGGAGCAAACCATACCAGAACACTTACCAACCACCCATGGACATGATGTAAAAAGTAGCGTTCTTAACAGATGTATCATGCAGAGTGATGTGCCAATGACAATAGTAGCTTTCCTACAACACTAACTTTTAGTTTAGTTTTAGTAGAGGTTTTACGGTGCTCGCAACTGCAGTGGGTCATCAGAGAGCCAGAAGATTAGAGGAGTTACAAGAGAGTAACAAACATAAAAAAGAATGAGGGGAGATAGAGACGATAGATTTTTTATAGGAAAGAAGGAGCAAACCACACCAGAGCACCCGCCAACGATCCACAAAAACAGCATCAAAACAGAATTATGAACAAGGTCTCTAAAAGCAACAAGCAGCGGCACTAACCTTCCCTTCTCCTCCTGTACCTGGTGCGCCCGGCTGGACAAGTCCTGCCTCTGAGTGACCAGCTCCTGCATGGATGCTTCCTGTAGTGCACACAGCTGACGGCTCTCCTCCAACTCCAACTTCACACATGCAATATAGTGAAATTACTTATTAGAGACTTCGATTAAGGGAAGCAAACCACACCAGAGTTTTAATTTAGTTTAGTTTTAGTAGAGGTTTTACGGCGCTCGCAACTGCATAAGGTCATATAAGCGCCAAGGGGTGGATGTCAACAGAGAAGTCTTTACAGGGAATCAGACTTACTCTGCTCACCTCTCTAGCTTCAACAGCACAAAATCTGCCTCGACTATGCCTCCGGAAATAGCGGGTCACAAGAGTATGACAAACATACAAAAGAAGTAGAGGAAAATGACAATAGTAAGGATTAGGAAAGAGAAAGCAGCAGTTCCCTGTTGTAGATCAGGCACAGTTATGAGCATGACATTGATGAATCAGCCCATTTACAATTCTACTATGCATGAAAGAGAAATGTCCCCCCTTTGGGAATGGCCTAGAGACACTTCAGTCAGTGTTGCTTCTTCTTTCCTATCAAACATCTATCGTCCTTATCTCCCCTTCTTCTTTTTTATGTTTGTTACTCTCTTGTAACACCTCTAATCTTCTGGCGCTTCTTCTGCATTGACTAACTGAATCTGGAAGTGCATTGTGTTGTTTGAACTATGTCCCTTGATACTGGATAATTAGGAACAGGAAGTTGGATCAAAATAAACAGTAGTTGAAAACCAACACGACTGTGTTTCTCTGTCTGTGATGTAGACTGACACTTAATCCACTTCAACACACACACACACAGACAGCATGAGTTTTTTCAATCAGGTTTTTACTTTTGCTAAGACTTATGCAGTATTTGCAACACAAAGAGATCACAAGTAACAAACATAAAAAAGAAGAAGGGGAGATAAGGACGATAGATGTTTGATAGGAAAGAAGGAGCAAAGAACACCAGAGCACCCGCAAACCACACACTCAATGATAAGGACGATAGATGTTTGATAGGAAAGAAGGAGCAAAGAACACCAGAGCACCCGCAAACCACACACTCAATCAGGTTTTTAGTTTTGGTAAGAGTTTTGCAGTATTTGCAACACAAATAGAGCATATGAGTCTGAGTGTTACGGATTAGTGGTGGTTCTAGAGAATAACATACAAAAAAAAAAGGAGAGATAAGGATTTAGTTTTATTAGAGGTTTTACTGCGCTCGCTACTGCATAAGGTCATATGAGCGCCAGAAGATTAGAGGTGTTACAAGAGAGTAACAAACAAAAAAGAAGAAGGGGAGAAAAGGACGATAGATGTTTGATAGGAAAGAAGAAGCAAACCACACCAGAGCACCCGCCAACCTTCCACTATTTAACAGTTTTAAACCCAGAAAACATAATTTTTCCCAAATGAGAAAATTGTTTCATGTACATTTTCTTGCTTTTAAAAAAAATTTTTTTTAACATTAAGAAATTGAATTTTCCACAAAATATTTCATATATCACAGATTAAGAAACTGCAACAACATTTTTGTTGAAGATCTTGGGCTTTGTACACGTGAACAGCTGTCTGATGGTTAAGGATGTTGGGAGAAATAAGACTTTGGACTGGGGGCCACCAACCTTGAGCTGTTTGTTGGTGGTCTCCGTGTCCCTGAGGCGGGCCGTCAGTTTCTGGGTGTTGGTCTGAATCCGCTCCAAGATCTCCATGGTCAGCGCCGTGTTGACCGCAACTGATGCCCTCGCTGGAGCAGACGTCTGGGAGCTCTGTTCACGCTGCATGACTACAGGGAAACTCAACGGAGGAAGACTATCTCGTTCTGCGCTGCCTGAGAGCATTGGTGACGACGAGTCAGTAGCAACAGTAACACCCGTGAAACGATGAGAGGGGTTCGAGTGAAAATCTGTTGACTGCGCCGAGGAAAATTTCGCTTGTGAGGATGATGGCGAAGATAACGACGAAGATGAGGACGGAGGTAACAAATGTTGTAATGAAAGAGAGCCCTGGGAGGGAAAGATTTCCGCTGGACCTTGACCGCCCTCCGACAATGGTGCACTGGGCACAGAGCCCAATGACATGGGGCAATATTCACGATTTCTAAATTGCCCCCCTATACCCAATCCATCAATATCTTCAGACGGAATCACGGAACGATGCAAATCACCGAGAGATGGCTGTCGCGATGGCGATGACGTCGACAATAAATCTTTGGGCAACAAAATCCCTGGTTCAAAATCACCGACCGCAGGGAACGTATTTGTAGACATTTGATTCTGAAGACCATACAAACTTTCGGATTCTTTTTCTCCAGCCACACCTGATATAGCCGAACCACCAACAGCATTTACAGAGCGGTCTGGGCCATTTATACCAAAATTACTCCCTGATTGATACACAAAATCCGAAGAATCACTCTTTGGTAAGGGGCCATCATTTCCACGATACGTACGCTCTCCAACTAAAGACCCAACATAAGGGAATTTCTTATTCAAAGAGCTAGACTCATTCATCTGAGACGAGGAAGATTCAGAAGAGGAAGAAAGTGAAGAATGACGGTGAAAAGGGGAGCCAAACGGCATAAAACTAGACCTCATTTTATCCACATATGACCCACCATCACTTGCGGGATTCATTGTACGCACACCACCATCATCATTGAGCAACGATTTATCCTCATGACTTAAGTCTAAAAGCCTGCGGTCCGAATCACTGTAAGAACCATCTAAGCCACTGTCCGTCCCCCATATACTACTTAACCCTAAAGGATCCTGTTTATTCACCCCAAACTTCGAACCTGGACCCAAAGTTTTCTCCCTTCCAATAACAGGGCTGTTAGGTAAAAGGCTACCCCTGCTCATTTCCGAAAACGGCAGAAATGCAGTGTCCTGTGAATAGCCTGATGTGTGGGCGTCATCAGCGGAGGCTGCATACCCAAGACGTGCCGGCTTACTCCGACTCTGGCCTAAGCCTGAAGACAAAGGAGGCAGCACGCCGCCCAGTGGTGGCACAGTCCCCGATGTGTTAGGTGGGGCAGCCTGAAGGTCGCTCCCCTCACTATCACGATCAGACGTCTGCGACTCTCGCTCTTCCTCCTCCCCGTTTGGCCCACTTCCTGTACTGCCGTTGGATGATGGTGGACGCTGGCCAAGGACCGCAACCCTGGGTTATGAAAGGACGGAAGAAAACGGGAGTGAGAACAATGTAAATAAGTGAAAAAAAAACAAAAGCACTCTAACAATAATAGTCATGTAGCAGAGGGCCAAAAAAAAAAAAAAAAGTACAATTTGCTTTTGAGAAGCAGGTTGACAAAGTATCTGTGATTTAGTGGAGGGAAGAAGTAAGAGAGGCAGATATAAATTAACAACACAGGGAAAGATAAGATACAAGACCACCAAGTGTTGCTCTCCCACTACATCCTAAAACACGGGAATGAAAATAATGTAAAAATGCATATCAATACAGCCGAACACACATTAATACAACCAAACACATGCACTAGTACAACAAACAGGCAGAGACACACATACTAGTACACCAAAACACACACATACACATACAGACAAGCATGCTAATACAACCGAACACATCCGCACAGACTTACAGGGCACTAGTTTTAACATTTCACTCCCCCCCCACCCCCCCATGAGATAGTTTAGCATAAGTGGAGGTTTTACGGCGCTCGCAAGAGCATAAGGTCATACGAGCGCCAGAGGATTAGAGGTGTTACAAGAGATTACAAAACATAAAAAAGGAAGAAGGGGAGATAAGGACGATAGATGTTTGATAGGAAAGAAGGATCAAACAACACTAGAGCACCCGCCAATCACACACTCAATCAGGTTTTTAGTTTTGGTAAGAGTTTAGCAGTATTTGCAACACAAATAGACCACAAGAGTGCCAAGGTTTAGAGGTTGTACTAGAGAGCAACATACAAAGAAAAGAAGGAGCACCCGCCAACCACTAACACAACGAGATAATCGAACCTGCCCAGCCTGGATCCCGGCCGGAGCGTCTTCTTTCCACGGGTGGGCAGCGCCACCCTAGGGGCTCTGAGCGGCTTGGGGGCAGAAGATTGCGTGCTCCCCGAACCCACCGAGTGGCTGGAGGAGGCCGGCGATGCAGAACGCTGGAGATCCTCGCTGGACACCGACGCATCCGAGCTTCTGCGCGATAGCTGATTGGGGGCCGGGCTCTGGCTGTTGTGAGGGGCGGAGCCTGAGGGTGAGGGGGACAAGCCACGGGGAGCTAGGGCGTCAGTTCGCCAGGAGTCTGACAGGGATGGGGTTTCCATGCGCCTGAAAGGACACAAAAAACACATAAATGAGTGGTGAATTCTGTGCATTTATTAGGTACTTCACCATGCACGCAAAGAACTTAATAATGAGTTCAATTATTCGGTGGGGGATTCATTTCATGGAGTATCTCTATCAGTTTGCTAGGATGTTGTTTCCCATACAGCCCCAGGTCATCATGTAAAACAGGATCACAGCAGCCCACAACTTAAACTATGTTGATGAGGCATGAAATATATGGTCGCTTTTAAGCACAAGGGGGCTATCCCGAAAAATACTGTTCTGAGAAAATTGAAGGTAAAGTTTTTGCCCCTTGTTCAGTTTCTTTAGAAGACATAGAGAGTTCTCTCTGTAACCAAACACACATATATACACCAATGAAACCAAATTTTTCGTATAGGTAGGGCAATGCCCACTTTTGGTGTAGATCAAGATTTCTGGAAAACCCCGAAATCTTGGTTAGCCCGCTTGTCCTTTAAAGCGACCATATAATCCTGGCATTTCACTATTTCAGGTATCTTTTTTCTTCCAGAACAAAGGGAGAAAAAATCCTATAAATAATGCAAAAAGAGTGAGTGAAAGCTGTTCACCACAACTGTCTATCAATTGTGTTCTCAATAAAAGATAAAACTGGGCCTCCCATTCTGAACTGCCCGAGTGAGCAAAACATCAGGGATAACCTTGGGGTAACAGAGGGGTTGTCAATTTGTCTATCAGGAACAGGAAACAGCCTGTCCCCGTGGTTCAATGCACCCCGCATAAATTATTTAGCAAAATTTGATCATTTTTTGCATAATTTCTTATTATTTTTCTTTAACATTCTTTGTTAAAATTAACAGAATCGCATAATTTCACATTTTCGGGCTCAGTTAGCATAATTTCAGAATTTTTCTTGCATAAAACGACAGGAATAGGAAACAGCAGGATCTGATCACTGCGATGTGTACAGACACATTTGGGGGGGGGTTATACTTTGCTTTTGTAATATACGAAAAACATACTTGTCACTGGTCCGTTTAGGTGGGTGAGGGGG